GAACTTATGACAAATGAAACTTATTATGATAGCATGTATTCACAATTCGTCGGATCTGTTGCATTTATTATCAAGGCTATGTGCAAAAACAATACATTTTCAGATTTGTATGAAATTAGGGCATTATGCAATGTACTTAAATGTAATATGCGAAGCATCTATCCAAAAATTGATTTTCGAGAAGATCTGACAATTATGAATAATCTCTTTACACCAACTCTACCTGTCATTGCCAACTGTGACATCACAATTTTATGGTCTCACGTCTTGAACGAAATAGATGCACGAGCTTCAAATAATAATGTATGGAGCCCCAATCATTTTGTTCCTCTTCTATCATCAGCAGTGCATTACACATCTGAATATGGAAATATATCACCAAAGTTTTCCGTAAGTTGTTTATGTGTAACTGTTTCTCTGGAAATTTTGAAATTTGTTTAGACTCCTGAAAAGAAAACGTTTAAGAATAATACTACTACTCGAATACGAAGTCCTAAATTTGAATGTTCTCCTAACAGCCGTCGACGTATCGATAATATGGGGATGTACTCCACTCAATCAATCAGTTCAAGTGTACTACAATAAAGTCAAAGTGGCATAGAAGAACAACGTCAAGTGCAGCTTGATGTACTAAAAGAATGAGCTTGGTCTAGCCGAATGTACGAAACAACTGAACATCGTCAAATTCGGCTTAAAAAGCAAAAACGTCGAGATCAACCTCGTCGATCAAATGAAACAGAACAACATCGTCAACTTCGCCTTGAATAGCAAAAAACACGGAATCAACCGAATGAAACAGCAGAACAACGTCAAATTCGACTTGAGAAGTAAAGGAAACGAAGCCAAGCAAACAGAGCGAAAAAGAAACTTGAAAAACACATATTTGACAACACTGACATTCATCGACAAAATATCGAGATGCAGTTTAGTGGAACGGAAGAAGAAGCATCTTGGAATAATAGTAGCACAAATGAAAACGTCATACAGAAAAAGAACGACTCAAATTATTCCTCTTGGTCTGAATCGATTCTTCGTGGATTAAAAGAGACCCGTTTGCAACAGTTTCTTCAACAGATGCCCATGCCAGTACTGGCTGAAGCTACTAGTGCAATTTGCAACGTTCGCACTCAAATATAACAGTCAAAAAAAGTGCCACTCTCAAAAATTCCTAATATCCATTTACTTAAAGATTCTGATGAGCTCAAAAATTTAATTACTAATGGCTCATCATCGTTATCACAACATTTAGACAGCAACAGCGCAGCGATTCTTCAAAATATTCAAAGTAACATATGATTACTGTGATTTGAGACATTATATAGAATCTCTGACTATTCTAGTTCCTTCAACTTTCGATTCTTCATCATTTCATTGTGATAATGGTGTTGTTTTGTATACCAATGGTTTATTTCAACAAAACAAGGCGAACATGTGCACACTTTGCCAAAAATGTCATATTTCTCTGTCGAAGGGGCAAATTCCTAAATTTTCAGCTACCAACAATATGTGGTTAGGTGACGCATGTTCTGAATTACAAGGATTGACAATTCAAGAAGAAAAATTGATATCACTTTATCGTCACAACAGCTGTACAATAAAACTTCATTCGCCTTCCCATTCAACTACAATTGCCCAGACAACATTGAAAGGCAACTATATCACTTTTCTTCAAAATGTACCAAACATTGTTAATAGTTTACCACTTACACTTGACGAGTACGCAAGAAGAAAATTATTGAAGTATTACATTGGCTGAAGAAACATAACGTACTTTATCAAAATGACGATATAAATCTGAAGAATATTGGTCAATTCCTGAAGACGATGTACCAGAATGTATTATGTCAACGATGGAACAGAAGATAGGTGATGAAGAAATTCAATCTGAAAGAATTGGATATATTCCTGATCCATTATCCGATCCAATAGAACGTACTACTACAGATAGTATTCCTATTAGTGCCAGGTAAGAGCAGCTAATAAATTAGTTGTTTCATAAATCTTTTCTTTTTTAGTGGTGTTCTCGATGTCAACGGCTCATCAGTGTCTTCAGATGAAATTACTGATTATCTTTTGCACAAAATTAAAAATGACGGAACAAAGGAACAGATGGACACTGAAAGTGTTTATTTGATTCCTCATTCTTCGAAGCCTGTTAACGAATATTTTAATCCAAAACTATTCGTAGGTCTGTGTCCAACTTTATTCTGTTATGGACATGGAGCACCTGAAGATCAATCGCGTCCAGTCAAAGTAAATTTACGAGAACACATGCGTTATCTGTTATCGTACAATGATCGACGTTTTGAAACAAACCATAGTTTTATATTTGTCGTCTTCAATCTATTACAACGACGTGATGCTTGTTTTCATGTTCAGCTGATCGCAACAAAACCTTACTTTCGAGTATCTGCTGATGAAATTCAATCCTTGAAAAGTAAAGATATTGAAATAGCGCTTGATTACATTTCCAAAAAAACATACAGTTCGGAATCCAGCAGTGCATTAAATAAATTATTACATCATATTAAAACCATCGGTGGTCGAGTTATGGTTTTAGCATATTCACGTACGGTATTACATACACGTATTCATGCATTAATCTACAATCAGGGACTACCAAGCATTTTTTTAACTTTAAATCCAGCTGATATTCACAGTCCCGTGGCATTATATTTTGCTGACATCAAGCTTGATTTGGACAATATTCAAATGGAACAACTTATGGATAATTACAAAAGAGCTGAAATTATAGCATCTCATCCTGTTGCTACTGCCAAATATTTCCATTTATTGATCAGTAATATCTTAGATACTATGATTGTTGG